GTTTGCAAGACATTCTTGTCGTAGCCTATCCATACGTGTGTGTGTGTGTGTGTGTGTGTGTGTGTGTGTGTGTGTGTGTGTGGCTAAATATATAAATATTATCTTTTCAGGCTACATAATGTTACTTGTATGTGTCTATTTCCAGGACTGACCATTTGGTAGTAGATAATTAATTTCTGTGCTCTTCACTGATTCTTGTTCAGGTTATGTTTACATAACCAATTTTTGTGAGACTTTATGGGTATAGTTTCTCTGACATTAAGGAGATACAGTCTCACAACAAACTTCCTTTTCCTCAGGTTCTTATAGTCTTTTCATCCCCTCTTCCACAAGGATCCCTGAGGATGTAGGAGTTGTGTTATAGATGTATCAGTTAGGACTTGGCTCCCCAACTCTGCATTTTAATAGGTTGTAGGTTTATGTAATGGTTTCCATCTGTTTCAAAGAGTTTTCTTGATGATGGGTAAATACTACACTTACCTGTGAGTATAAGGACAAGTAGAGGAATGTTGTTAGGTATTACGCTCATTGAATAAAGTGGTGGTCAGAAATTTTTCAGCAACCAGCATTCACCAGTGTTGAATAGTTAGCTAGGCTTCTAATGTTACACTCAAAATCAGTAACCCAGATCACCACCACGAGACATACTCCAATGCAAAAACAAAGCGTCTTTCTTGCAAGTTAACTTGGGTCCCGTCTGTCCTAAGCAGCTGCAGCAGCAGCAGCAGCAGCAGCAGCAGCAGCAGCAGCAGAAACAGCACAGAAGAGAGACCAGAGGTGAACAAAGGAATTCCCCAAGCCTCTGAGCTTGTGATTGGCTGTCCCTATGATATAAGGGGGCTTTCCAGGCCTGAGGAGAATTCCAAGCCTCCAGGGGTTCATTGATTGTTCAGTTTTCCCTGCTCAGGGATTGGCTGGCTTTGTGTGGGATAGAGATGACTCAGATTCTGGGGCCAAACTGTTTCTTTCATTGATTCTTTTTACCTTTTTGACCCTAATTTTGGGACCAGGGCAAATATGATTGGCTCTAGGTTCGGAGACTCTGGTCCCATTTTCAGGGTGTGTTTCTTTCACTGGGGTGGGGCTTAGAGCTGAGCCTTTCAGGATCTGTGTAGGGCTACAGATGAGGGGTTTTCTGGGGCCTGGCTCTCTCACTAGTACAAGACATGCTTTTGTTATGCCTAAGTCCGCAAAGTCCCCAAAAGCCAACAAGGAGACCGAATCCCATATGTAAAAGCAAAGAGCCTTTATTTTATGCAAGTTTGCAAACTCGGTGTCTCTGCATGTCCAATATATTGGATTATCCGGAGAGCCCCGAGCTCAGTTAGAGTTGGGTTTTTATAGTAGTAAAGATGGGGGTGAGGGGTTTCTGAGGTTCACGACCCATGGTTGGCTGACATTTGTCTAGGGGTGTCCCGGTGAGTGTGCTGGAACGTGATCCTATCTACAGTGGGTTGGAACATTAGGCATTTTCTTTGGATGGTCTGTTCTTGGGTGGTGCTCAGGTAACCTTAGTTTTTGGTCCTTTCTGCAACCAGGTATTACTTCAGGGTAAACTACTGAGACTCAGGCCTCCATTAAACTTATCAATGGCTGAGTCCTACACTGGCCGGTGATAATGGTTGAAAGTAAAGAACTTCCTTTGGGTGATCTGTTCATATTTAGCTTATCATGGCTGGCTCCTTCAGTTTCCTTCTTGTTGAGCAGTTCTTCAGTTTGATTAGAGAGCTGTTGGTTATGGCTAAGGTGTGTGTGCCACTACTGCACTCCTCGGGTTACAGCACCATGCGGTCATTGTGCTTCCTAGGCATCATGGCTGGGTAGGACTATTGGCTATTTCTCTCCTTTGGAAACTTCAGGTACCATGAAACCTAGTCCTTGATGAGGAGGCTTTCAGGTCAGATCCAGCTTGGGTTCCTCTGAGTCTTGTGTCTGAAGTACATAGCGCCTTCAGCAAGAGGGACTCACCTTCACCTCTGGGATCAACCAAGCAGAAGTGTATGATGTTTTGGAACAACCCTGGCCAACAGCCCAAAAGAGGATTTCACATTCCTGGTGTTGGAGTTTTGATAGCTAGTTTATGGCTCTTGGGAGGAAAGATTTCATTTAAACTATGTAAACACAGACTTACATGTATTATAGGTATTTTTAGGTAGACAGTTAATAGCATACTTACAGTTTTTCAAACATCCTTACTGTATACTCCTTTCTCCCCATCCCTATGTAAATCTTCTCTGCTTTTCCTGTTTATCCCTTCAGATCTCTTGAACCCTGCTGTTCCCCATTCTTTTGCCCCTCTCCCAACCCCCACAATGGTTACTTTTTACTTTCCTAGTTTTTTGAGTTAACTGCTCCCACATAGCTGAAGATTTGGAGCTAGGAACATCAGCTGAGAGAGAACATACATTTGCCTTTCTGGGTCTAGTTTATTTATTCAGTTTTTGTTTGTATATGTAAGAGTATTCCAAAAATGTCTTGATTTTTAAAAACACATTAAAAGCAGATAAACTAATAATTAAAGGGGAAAAACAGAAGTAAATTACAAAACTACAGCAATGAATTTTACTGTGTTAAAGTACCCATGTTTTTTTTTTTTTTGCTGCTGATGTACATACACTGATGTTCACAGCTATGCAGTGGTTTTTAGTTGTGTCAGATGTACAGTTCTCTGCTTGCTCAGTTAGCACAAGCTACATGTGGTGTTCAGTGTTTGAAGTGTGACTTGAAACATGTCTTGAGTGTGAAATATAAAATTGGATTTCAAAGACTTTCCCTAAATAAAGAATGAAAAGTATTTCATTAATAAATTTCTCCATGGTTGCATTTACTTTTATTTGTTTCGTGTGTGTGTGTGTGTGTGTGTTTAAATGTTTATGTTAGATAATTTTTAATTATCAATGAACTTTTGGTCTTGTGACCCACCTTATATTTTTTCATAGTGCTTGTTCAGATTATCTATATGTGTGTGTTTATATGTTAGAAATAACACCATCTTAACAGGAAACCTTTTTAATAACTTGGAAGAATAATTCCTTTTTTGGTATTTCATATGTATTTATTCCATATCAGCATTATCTTTGACTTTTTTGATGTTGGCCCCAGCGTTGCAGTCCTTTAAACTACCTCCCTCTTACCCTAGCAGGGCTTCTAGGAGTTCATCAGGCTGCAGTCAGATTGTTGTTTCTAGTAACGGCCCTGAGTGCTTAGATAGATGTCATTTCTTTATAAAGAAGTTCATTTCAGGAAACTGCTCCATGGGATTGCTCTTTTATTATTTTCTGACAAAAGTAACATGATCCTTTTTTAGTTTGTTGAAAGTCAGAATAGAAAAGCCTTTTATATTAACAAAAACAAAATGCTTTTCCGGGCACAGAGAATAAGGAACAGAATCAGTCATGAATTATAGTCTTGTAGAAGTCACTTTTTAAAATAGATCATGAGTGGACTATCAGTCTGTCAAGGGCTTTAACCTCTATTTTATTTTCCATTATACTTGGGTCCAGGTTGTCATCAGCTACCAATGTAATTCCTAGACAGAGAAAAGTTACAGTTAGATGTAATAGTATGGTCACCATGGAAGCATCCGTTATCTTCATCAAGGCAATTCAGATTTGATTATTACAGATCTGTGTTGAATACCAAACCAGTGAGATGGTAACTGTAGCTAAATCACAGGACTGTCATTTCTGCCAGATGATTAGGGTTACCTTGGAAGAGCTGTGGAAATACTCTCAACAGAAGAGAAAAGGTCTGTCTGTCATAGCTAGTGAGACGCAGCATGTTAGCTTGATGACTCTCGAACTATTTAACCTTAACAGTTATATTCCCTCTCCACCCCACACCAGCATACAAGCGCATCAGTGTTTCAGAATTATGTCTCCAAGGGATATCTAAGTGTATCAGTAATTTCCTATTAAGATAAAATTCAGCTATGTTGTGTCTAACTAGATCTTTCAGAGAAGAGTGCATGCTCTATTTTAAAGACCTAGGTATTCCCTAAATTAAATGCCTGGGTGGATAGTAGAAAACATTTAGAAGTTTATAAAACATTTAATGGGAATGTATACAATTTAACATGTAAGACATTGTGCTATGCATTTAAATTATGGCATAAATATATTAAGATTTTGTAAAATGTAAGTATGTCTCTATTTGTTTGTGAGGAGGTTGGTCCATTTAAATAGTTAATATAGTTTAAACAGTAGCTGTAAATTTAAGTGGACACACTAAACCTAACGATTTTATTTCGTCACGCCGTAAATAAAAATAAATGGCAGAAAGGAGCAGTTTTTACTTTCACTAGTCAGTTTAATGGTCATCCTGATATTTCCATTGTCTGGCATATTTTGGGCACTTATTAAACTCATAAATTAGATGACCTAGAAATTGTTAACTTTAAAAGAATTCATTTTGGGTCGGGCAGTGGTGGCGCAAGCCTTAAATCCCAGCACTCGGGAGGCAGAGGCAAGTGAGTTCAAGGTCAGCCTGGCTACAGAGCAAGTTCCAGGACAGGCTCCAAAGCTACAAAGAAACCCTGTCTCAAAAAAAACAAATAATAATAATAATTCATTTCGGGAGGAGGATTCAGTATGCCATCTAGTGGACATATTGAGTTTTCTGATCATCAAATATTCATAATTATTTTTTCCTCCAAAGTTCAGTTTTCTGGACACCTTGTCCCTTAGCCTTCTTTGATTGTTCATGCTTGTGTTAACTTTACTATAATTTTGATATAATTTTATCTCAGTTTTGAAAATTATATTTGAAAGTAACTTAAAGCATCAAAACCAGTCTAATCGCAGTGATATATTTGAGCAACCACACGCATTAAAAATAAGATATGTTTAGATGTTTTTCAGTTTTGATTAGCCAAGAAAGAACCAACTGAAACAGAAGCATGTTAATTATTATGTCTTATTATATATGTATAGAACATTTAAATGGTCACCTTATTCATTTCTGTCTTTTTATTTTAATTTATTGTATTTATTTTTCTTTAGAGAAATCCAAGGCCTGTAACTTACCAGTTCCACCCCAATTTAGATTACTACAAGGCACGGGGAGCAGACCTTATGAATAAAAGCCGGTAAGTCCCTTCCCATAGACAGTATCAGAAGTCATCAAGAATTTTTATGTATTTCATGAGGATTATTTTCTAGATTTAGCATGCCAAGACTGGTGTGTAATGAATCTTTGTTAAATAAATTTCCTAAGTTCTTTTCGGCATCATAAAACATATTTTTGTAACAGTGGTAATATGAATTAATACAAGCACTATAGTAATCTGTATGGAGTGTCCTCAGACCACTAAAACTAGATCTACCTCATGACGTACCTGTACCACTCCTGAGCATTTACCTACCTGCAGGGCTCCAGAACATCATTCCACTGAGATACTTGTAATGTTAAGTTATGGAGCTAATCTAATTGTCTAACAACATATAGGTGGATAAAGAAAATGTTGCATGTATATACAATTATTATTTTTTTTTTTTTAGCCACAGAAGGCCTGGGAAAAGGGAGAAGAGGGCGGTATGGGGGGAATATACTCAACATATAGCATATACTTGCATGGGAAATGTCCTTTTATAACACAGTATCATGTACAATGAATACGTACTATGAAATGAAATTTTTAAAATATACCAAAAGAATACATTTTTAAGTTTTCAGCGTCATTTTTCCAGTACTAATAAACCTGAATAGTTTCTACTTGGTGTAATCTCTTTCTGGATCTTCACTGTTGAATGAAAAGAGGCAGTTCTATGATATATTTTTAAATTATTTCAGTAACAAAATTAAAATTGCATTTCCCAGTTGGCTTTAGCACTACAAAATAAGCTTATAAATGCATCCTTTGTGATCGGCGATTGCACACACAGAACTCTTAAGGGTCACTGTAGGAATAAAAACATTCAAATCATACTTTTAAAAGAAATTAACATTGGCATAAAGGGTTGATGAACAGTTCTGTTTTTTCATAATACTATACTTAGATGTCTCAAGAGTTAACTTGTCAAACCAGAACCATTTCAAATTAGAATGCAATTTCAGAGTTTACTCTAGAAAACAATGTTAGCAATGATAAATGCTGCCAAATTATCCAAATTTTTTTTCTTAAACATTTTCCTGAGTGTTAACTTTTCTTGAGAATTCGAGCAGACTAAATATATATTTATAGAGTGCATACATACGGCATGTTCTGCATTAAAACAACTGCCACTTAGGAAATGGTAGCTTAAGAGCTGGGGAAATGTACAGGAGGCTGACTTTTAAACTTAAACCTGAACCTTTTATTACAACAGTAGGAACAGAGTACCACTACTACAGAATTACCCAGCTTTGAGATGATGAGACCAGTGTCATAGCCCATGAGACTTATCTGGAGCTCTGTTCTATTTATGCATTTTGTCTAAGTCTTGTTTCACAACTAGTAACTAGTTCATTTAATTCAACAAATTTTACTGAATGTTGGATATGATTATTTAAGCATAGAGGCACCTATATAGCAGTCATATTCAAACCCCTGCCCTAAGGAATCTTACTAACCATCTATTTAAATTTCTTCCTCTTTATGCTAGGTATTTAGTTTTTGTATGTTTAAAAGATAAGTATATAGATTCACTTGTTACATAAGGTCTTTTTATCTGAAGACCCTTCTGATTCTTGCCCACTAGACTATCTTTCATGAAACAGCCAAAGAAATCTCTGCTTCCAGCAGTTCATATTATACTGCCACTTTTGCCCTTCCAGAGTTTTCCTTTTGCCATCAGTTATCCAGTCTTGTGAATAAGTGTGCCACTATCTCCCACCCTCCCCTTGTCTCCACTCGTAGGTCACAGACACACTGGTCTCTCATTCTTACCTCAGCGTAGAGTGTTTGTACTTTGACTCCCGAGCTGCTGAGGCGCTGCTTCCACCTGACTTTGCCAGGGAGAGCCCTGCCTGGTACCACCTTCCAAAGGACACTCTTTATTGTCAGGCTGTCTTCTCTCTGCCTGCTGTTCCGGTATCTTTTGAGAGTTCATCCTTTTAAAGTATCATCATCCTTCCTGGCATCTGTCACTTTTTGCCCAAGATCTTCTAAGGCAACTGAGGTCAGCTGTTACTCACCCACTCATATCAGCTGGCAAGTGAGACTTGCTATAGGGAAACACTCAACAGATATTCACTGTAGGTTTTGTTTATATCCTAGTTCCAACATCTTTCTCCCACAAATGAAATATACTATGTATCCTTTCTTTTCTGTCCTTCTGGTTTTATTTTACCTTTTTTATTTTATCCTGTTGTTGTTGTGTGTGTGTGTGTGTGTGTGTATACACTGATTTTTTTAACACACTTCTTTGTAAGCATACTGAGATTCTTATACAAAGAATCATGATGAATAGAAGAAAGATTTTTTATCATCTCTTTTGAAATGTTAGGAATTTTTTTGTATTTCTTATTTATTTTATGTCTCTTGTGTGCCTGTGTGAGTCTGTGTGCACCACATTATGCAAGTGCCCACAGAAGTCAGAAGAGAACTTCAGGCTCCCTAGAAATGAACCATAGGCAGTTGTGAGCCATCATGTTGGGTGTTGGGAACTGAACCCAGGTCCTCTGCAAAAAGAATGTGCTCTTAATCATTGCCCCATTTCTACAGCCTTTCTTTTGCAATTTTAATGCTTAAAATTGAAACTGGGTTCATTTTAAATGCCATTCTTTTTAAATAGCTCAGGAACTATTGGTACCTGATGGCTGCTTGGGGAAACAGTTTGTTTTCTTCAGGGATACAGTTCCTAAGAGAGTACCTATCCTCTGGTCAGTGGCCCTTCATGTAGACTATATACTGGTGGCACTAAGTGCACTCAATGAATCAAAAAGACAGGAACACATGAAATTGGGAGGAAATGGTGGTGCAGATGTACGAGAAGGAAGTGCAAGAGAAGGAATAGGGTAGGCTTGATTAAAACATTATATATTAAATTATCAATAAAAATATTAAGTACTAGCTTAAATGTTAGAATTATCTTTAAAGAGTTTGTAAATGCAAATAAAGACATTACAACAATATAAAATAGTATTATCTGGCAACTAACTGTCTTAAATGTCCAAAGCAGTTAGTGTGCAGAAGAATAAAATAAATAAATATGAGCTATAACTCATATCTACTCAGAGTAGATGAGTGATAACAAACTAGCAATGTACAGGAATGCAAAGCAGAGGTTGTCTCTACACCAAAACAAATTGCTGGATTTTTTTCACTTAAAAGTAATATAATTTTTAATTTGCATGCAAGGTGTTAAGTAGCATGAAGGCATTTTTGGGAACAGTGTGAAAGGCTTCCTTTCCTCCTCGTCCTCCTACCCATTTGCTCTCCCTGACCTCTTGTAACCTCTCCTACCCCATCTCGTCCCCTTCATGTCCCTGTCCTTTTGCCCACCCCATGTTCTTCCTCATCACTTTCTTTTATCCTCTGTCTTCTTAAGACTCTGACCTGAATTTATACACCCACATAAACACAGAACCCACAGTCGCGTTACAGACGAGGATCCACGTAGGAGAGAGAGCATTCAGGTTTTTGTCTCTCTAAGTTTGGGTCACCTTGCTTAGTATTTTACCTTCCAGATACATCCATTTTCCTGCAGATTTTAGTTTTCTTTAAAGCTTCATAAAATTTCATCTTGCACATGCACCACATCTTCATTACTTGTTGATCTGCTGATGGTTCCATTTGCTGTCATGCAAAGAGCAGTAGTGAACACGGATGCCCACATAGCTCTGTGGTAGGGTGGAGTCCTTTGTCTCAGCCCAGGAGTGATAGAGCTGGGCCATAGGATGCTTCTGTGTGAATTTTTTGAGAAAGTTATATATTGATTCTCTGTCCTGATTTCCATAATAGTTGTTCTAATTTGCCCTCTCCCACCGTTAGTTGCCAGATCTCTGGCGGCTGAGGTGGTGTCTCAGAGTAGTTTTATTTGCATTTCCCTGATAACTAGAGATGTCGAACACTTTTTAAAATATTTATTGGCCACTTGTATTTCTTCTTTTGAGAACTCCTCTTCATTTCTTACTACATTTGTTGACTGGCAGTTTGGGGGTTTTGATGTTCACTATTTTTAATTTTTAAATTTTAAATTTTATTGTATGTGTATGGTGTTATGTGCATGTTGTCTGTACCACTTTTATGGCTAGTACCTGTAGAGGACAAAAGAGGATGTCAGATCCCTTAGAACTGGAGTTACAGAGGTTGTGAGCCACTATGTGTGTGCTGGAAATTGAACCTGGGTCACTAAGCCATCTCACTAACCCTAATGTGACTTTTTAGTGAGTCATAGTCACTATTTAAACTCTATCCAGGTACAACTAATTGACAAAAAAATAAAAAGTTGTCTAAACCAAACAATTTTTCCAATTTGTAGTTTTTGTAATACTTTTAAAAAGCTAGAATATTTTCACACTTTATTCTTCTGATAATTCTATTTTTACTCAAAAAATAACATAAGCATAGATAGCCATCTGAAAATGTAAGATGTACCTACACAACAATTGTGTCAATAGACTTAGGAAAAGTGAGGGTGGAAGTGTCATCAGATGAAAATATATACCTTTAAATGCTCTTATTGGAAAGACAGAAGATGAAGAATGAGTGAGTAAATGAGCAACTGGATGAACAAACCAAGCATTCAACCTTGGAAAAGGGAACAGTAGTAGAAAGAAATAATAATAATAATAATAATAATAATAATAATAATAACTGCAGGTGTGAATGCAGGGGAAGGGAATACTTTAAAATAAATTGAGAATAAACCTTTCAAAAATATAAACAAGAATCTAAAGAAATTGTGCTAAAGTTACTGCAGTAACCAAAGTTTGCTTGGCTTTTAGAGGTCTTTTTTAGGGTGTTTTTGTTTGGCTTTTGTTTAAAGCTTTAGATGCTGGGTCATGACTGTGCCACTTAAGAGGATGAAGGTTCTAGCTCTCTTTCAACTGTGTGGGGAATGGGGAAGGTAGGAAGGCACCAGAGTCACACAGTTCCAGATAGTCCAGTCAGAGCTGAATTAGGATGAAAGTGTTTCAGAGAGATTCTTGTTTCTTCAGAAAATGCCATGTTGCTGAAAAAGTCTAACAGTCTAAGCACTCGGCACTGTTAAAGTATCTCTTGTGTTCTGCTGTCTTTCTAACTGTAGACAACACCCATGGAGATTTCATCATGTGGATGTGGTTAGTCAATGTCTTCTTAACTCCAGATTCATTCCTCTGGCTGTTTATTTCAACACTGCCCATTACACTCCGTTACCAGCCCCACTGTCCTTCAAACCTGACAACTACAGTGATTCCCATGACTAGTACACGCCAAAGCCACAAATACTGTGGCAAGATATTTATTACTTCAGGTGAAGGATATTGCTACTTGATTCCGCGCTAAATTGAATAACTTTGATGTAAAAACTGTCATGCCTTGAAAACAAGCCATGGAAAACAGGCTTTTCCTAGAAGTACATGGTTTGCTATTACTCACATCTTAAAAAGTGCTCACCTTCAAGAGTTTTTTTAAAAAGAAAATATGCTCCTAGAAGTTCTGAGTGGTAGATGAAACGTGCGTTTTTTAAAAAGACAAAAACATTTAAAAAGAAGCTCATCTCTTTAAAAGCTATTCGGATGAAAAGAAAAATCTCTCAGCACAAGCTTGATCTATATGTTTTTGTGGTTATTAGTAGTAATGAATGTACATTAGCCACACTCTCTTGATAGTGCTGGAGCTGTTTCTTAGTACTTGTATCAGCATATAAATTTCACAACTGGCAATATGGGAATTTGACTAGTACATTTTTGTTTATATAAAGGGGTAACAACATTATAAACTTCTTCATATCTTTGAGTTATGGATCTTGATTTGCACACAAGCAAGACTGAAATGCAGCTGAACATGGCAGCCATTCTTGTGCCTCACTAACTAGGCATAGGCCTGTGTTCAGGCTGCTGAACCTCTGCAGTCTAGAACTGACGAGTCCTTTTTATTTCAATCATTGTTTGTATTCAGTCAACATGGATTGAGAAGGTAGAAATTGAGTATGTCCTGCTTCATCAGGAAGCTACTAAAAGATGAAAAGCAAGTATACCTACTGTATAGCCTCACTTCCACAAAATATGAAACTTGATACAAGAGGGATCATTTGAATTAATTTTATTAAGTTATTTTTATACTGCATTGAGTTATAAGTAAATGAATCTTCTTTTTATCACCCTTTTAAATTTGATTAGTTCTTTTCCAGTGCAGTGTAAGCCCTCGAGCACCCAGCTCATAACATGAGCTGGTGCCCTTAGAGAAAACTTTGTGGAAGGGGGAAGCATGGCAGTGTTTCCTCTTTATCCCAGAACTGAGTGACAGCAGTCCACCACGTATGTAGCTGCACTGGAAAGGAGAAGTGCTTTACCAGTGCTGCCAAGGAGATTGGGAGAAGGGAATGGCAGTGTGACTAGTCTTGAGGACAGTAGCCCTGAGATACAGCGCAGGCTGAATCATCTAGGAAGTAATGCTTCATAGAACAAATATTGATTTGCTTCTCTCTCTTTGCCTGATCCTAGAAAACCATGGAAAGCAAGGAAGATAGTGTGAGATTCCACAAAGCAAGTTTAACTCATACACATATGTATATAGTTTTTGTATTAATGTGATTTGGATATAAAATATCTCCATGTGTCTAGCTTGGTCCTTGACTGGTATATTCAGCCATTGAGAGGTAACTGAATCATGAGAGCTCCTTTTTATTCAGTGTGTTAATCATTCATAGATTCCTAATATGTGGTGTAGGATGTGTTGCTTTCATTGGTTAGATAAAGAGACTGCCTTGGCCTTTTGATACAGCAGACTTAGGTAGGCGGAGTAGACAGAACTAAATGCTGGGAGAAAGGAGGCAGGCAGGGAGAGCCGCCATGAAGCTGCCTGGTCAGACATGCTAAATCTTTCCCGGTAAGCCACGACCTTGTGGTAACATACAGATTATTAAAAATGGGTTGAATCAAGATGTGAGAGCTAGCCAATAAGAGGCTAGAAATAATGGGCCAGGCAGTAATTTAATTAATACAATTTCCATGTGGTTATTTCGGGGGATAAGCTAGCCGGGCGGCAGGATGCAGCCCGCTCCCCCACCTACTACAAATATGATGACATGATTGGAAGATGACAGTAGGAAGTAGCACATTTTTGGAGATAATAGATTCTTAGGAGTTTCATGCCGAACTCTTCATGTCTCAGACTCTCTACTCACTAGGAAGTCAGCAGTTCTGTTCTGCGGGCTCCCAACCATGGTGAGTCTGCCTTGTCTTGAGTCTCAAAGGAATGGAACCAGCTACCTGTGGACTTAAACCCTGAGCCAAAATAAATATGTCTTCTAGTCAGTGGTGGCAGGGACAGAAGCTCAGCTCCAGATTGTCACCCTCAGCAGCCTTAACTTTAGAGATCACAACTCAGGTAAAGCTGAATCTTTGTCTTCAGGCCAGAAAAGAATTTCAGAAAAAGCCAGCATGAGATGGAGTTGGAGTTTATTAAAAGAGAGATTTCCATATAGATGTTAAGTCCAGCGGTAAAAGATAAGGTGAAGAAAGACACACTTCAGAGTATGGGCAGGCTTCTCAAAGAAGAGCTCTGGTTTGTTAAAAAAAAAAAAAAAAAATGTGCTGTGAATTTAATCAGGGTGGTTAAGAGAGAAAGAGTCCCTCTGGAGAAGAATAAGGCATGCTCATCAGTAGGGCATGAGTTTCAAGGGGGGGTGGGGGTGGTAATTAAGAGTCTCAGCATTAGCCTATGGACTGTGTTAGTGGCTCTCACAGTACATCTCACAAACTGGTCAGGAGCTTCCCTCTGTGCTGTCTGTGGTTGACGGACGGTTTGCATGTGGCTGCAGAGATGCCTTGGATGGGTTATCATCTGACAAAGTAAAATCAAGAGTCCTAGAAAATTACAAGTTTGTACTTAGGAAAAGAGAAAGCTGCTTAGAAAATGGTGTGAATCCTTGATTTTTAGCTGCTGGAGGCATCAAGCAAGCGCAGGGCAAAGGCGTTTTTCCTCCTATGTCCTAATCTCCCTTCTTTCTGTCGTACCCCACTTCCTTAAATTATTAAGTGTCGGGTATGCTGCTCAGCTAAGAAAGTCAGCCTAACACATAGTTCTTTTTAATAGTCGTGTGTCTGCTTGAACAGCGGCAGCCTTAGAAGCTAGCACAGTGTTGGCGTGTAGTGTGTCCTGTGGAAGGAAGGAATGATGAGGCTCATTTTCCATAAGCCACATTACTGTTCTGTGGTCACATTAGGTTCGTACTTCTTTACATAGCTGACTTAGTAAACAGCTTTTCCCAGGATTAGACAAGTTGTTTTTATTCCAGGGGAATGTGCGAAATAGCATTATCCTCCAAGTTAAATGTTTTCCCACTTCATTTGATGTTCCCTTTTTTATCCCAAAGGACCAATGCCAGAGGTGCTCCCCTGAATATACACAAGGTCTCCAACAGCCTGATTAACTTTGGAAGAAAGTTGATTTCCCCAGCCTCGGTTCCAGGCAGCATGGGTGGCCCTGTGCCTGGGAGCAACAGCAGCGGCTCTTTCTCTGCTGCCATCCCCACCTCTGAGGAAGCCCCAAGGCATCATGTGCAGCAGCAGCGACAGCAGCAGTGGCAGGGGCAGCAACAGCAGCAGCGGCAGCAACAGCAGCAGCAGCGGCAGCAACAGCAGCAGCGGCTGATGAAATCTGAAAGCATGCCGGTACAGTTGAACAAAGGTAGGAAACAATTTCAGTAAATCCAAAGAACCTGAAGATTTTCTCACTTGCCTTTGAGAAACCAAGATCCCAGAAGCAGAAATCCATAAAATATGTGATCTTTTTTAACTTAGAAGTTAGATACTGTATTCTTGATTAAGAAGGTATTTGACAACATATTGTCACAGTGTGGTTTCTATTTCTGTTATATAGGTGCCCGTCTTATATGATGGCATGAACTGTCTCAGCATACAGCTCATCAGTTGACTGTGTAGGAAATGCTTTCAGAAGACTCTTAGTTACCTGGGCTGTATGGACTAGTCACAGCATTCACAGCGAGGCAGTGATTTAGAGCAGAGTTTGGTGGTCGCTCATCTCATCCTCCTGTTTCATTGCTAAGGACTACATATGAATCTTCAGGGGAAAAAAGGCTGAACAAGATCGTAAGCAACCAGAATAAGCATTCAAGTCCATGCACTAAGTGGTATAGCCATAGGCTGGGTATAAGAGCAGGTAAACCCAAGGAATGATGGAAGCCCATGGACCTCGTTTGCTGAGGAAGGCACTGTCCTGAGCACTCTGGCTGCTCCCACTTGTTTCAGGGCCTGTCCAGTACTTCCCTGGCCTGTCCAGTACTCCCTTCTCTGCCCGCAGAAAGCCTTATACATTCTTACTTAGAGCCTTCACCCTTATTTTTCATGCTAGGCCCCTCTTTTCCTAGCAAATTAAAAACAACTATATTTCTTTTTCCCTGTGGAATATTGACTGTACACTGGAAGTAAGAAATTGAAACAGAGCGACAAAAGCTGCACAGAAGCACAGCAGTTTGTGGCCATTCTATCCAGTAAACATCCTGACTAAAACTTGAGCCATATCTTACAGGAATAACTATGTTAATGGCAGCATTTAGTACTTAGTGGTATCAATAACAATGGTGATGTCAACACAAACAAAATTACAACTGTATGCTTTGCTTAAGGTTATCACATACAAAATTATTGTAAAGGTTTTACAAATTGGAATTTAAATTGGCTTTAGTCCCTGGTGATAGACGCCATGCACATGTGCACACACATATGTACATTTGAAACCCTCCATTGCTCATGTGCACACACAAATGTACATCTGAAGCCCTCCATTGCACATGTGTACATACATATGTACATCTGAAACCCTCCATTGCTCATGTGTACATACATATGTACATCTGAAACCCTCCATTGCTCATGTGTACATACATATGTACATCTGAAGCCTTCCATTGCTCATGTGTACATACATATGTACATCTGAAGCCCTCCATTGCTCATGTGTACACACATATGTACATCTGAAGCCCTCCATTGCTCATGTGTACACACATATGTACATCTGAAGCCTTCCATTGCACACGTGTATACATGTATGTACATCTGAAGCCCTCCATTGCTGTCATCATGTTAGTTTTTCTGTTTTTTTTTCTATGTGAAATACTAAGTTTTATATGTTTAGTATTTAAGGCATATTAGAATATTCAGTTTACCTTCTATGAGAATGTCTCATTTTCATATAGAACTGTCGCACATGATTTAAAGAAAAGGAGACATCAAATCATTAGCGTGTTGAAAATGTGTTTTAATGCCAAGAGACATGCCCACTTTCAGAATGGAAATGAATGTTATTTTATATATCTCTTAATTGTACTGTTTTATTGTTGTAAACAAATATGATTTCAATATTGCTTTGATAACAAGCTTTAGTCTGTTGTAATTCTAACTGACGGCAGGCAAATGAGTCAGAGAATCTCTTAATGCTTTAGCTTAAATTTTCTGAGAAACCAAGCCAAATGACTATAGAAATATAAAGTTGTATCTCTAAGGAAATGTCAAGTATTAATATCACATAAGTGAGAAAGGAAGTGCGTGGAGATGGAACAATTGGTGAAAACTAACTCCCCAGTTGTCAGGAGACAGCAGAGCTTCAGCTCCCTGTTGGAAGAGTATCACTGAAGCATCTGTAACTGCTCCCTGGCCTAAAGGAATGGCCCTTGCTTTTCATTTGTTTGACTGTTTGTTTGTTTGTTGGGTTTTTTGTTTTGTTTTGTTGGTGGTTGTTTTAACAGCTCTTCTAGTTTGTTCTGGGCTCATTATTCTCACGTCAGTACCCACCCTCCCCCAAAAACCTTGTCATGTACAGAGATAGAGAAAACTGCTTACCTCATGACCTTCCTCTATTCACCTTCTCGTAAACCCTAAACAACCCCTGAAGCGCTGTTTGATCACCTAAAACAATATTTCTGCACTGATGCCTAGGAAGTCTGCAAGCTCAGAAAACCTTTGATGCTTTGGGTGACAATTACATCATTAACTTTACGTTGAAAGAGCACTCCTCTAACATTGGCCTGTGGTGCCAGTTTCCCACAGAACTACTGTGCTGTCCTCACAGACAGCTCTTGAACACAGCAACCTGTCTGCAGTCTAATGCTGTATAGAACCATCCACCTCATACCTTTGAGGAGAGATAATGTGATTGTTTGTAAAGATGAAAACATTGTGACTTTTATAGACCATGGTTATTTGTAATTGTAAAATGGAAGTTGTGTTGCCAGACCCATGCATGTGCATCTTAAAGTGCATGGTGTAGTTTGTGTAGCCAACAAAGAAAGGGCAGCAGAGCTAGTCCTTCATCCTCTCAGTAAGATTTACATTAAAGTGAATCTCCATGTCTACATAGACTGCAAGAGATCTTTGAAAATCTTTGTAGCAAAATGGGTAGCTTGTATAAACTCGAAAAGCCCACCCTTTATCAGTCAGCTTAGTTAACTGTATTAAGAAAAGTCAGGTTGTAACCATTTCTACTTTAAGACTTCTTTGGAATATGTTCCTGTGAGCAAATTTTATTTTGGAGATAGGCAAACATTTGTTTGTTCTTTTAGTTGATAGAAATTATGTAATGTCACCATGAGATCTTGCTGCAAATCACAGTGCATTAGGTCACCAGAACACTAAGGGATGTTAATTCCTTTAAAGTCAATTTTTATTAGTATACTAATATAATAATATATACTATGTAATAATATAATAGTATAAATATAATATATAATAATATATAGTATATTAATTAGTAATTTTATATATTAGTAAATTTATATATAGTAGTGTGTGTGTGTGTGTGTGTGTGTGTGTGTGTGTGTGTGTGTGTGTGTGAAATAGAAAAACTAAAGATTATACCTGGGATATCTAGTGGTGCCTTTCAAAAGACTTGAATCCTTTTACTTAGGTAGCTCCAAATAACCTTCAGACACTGCTTCCTCCAGGGCGTTATTCTGAAGATGCTCTTTGTTGAACACTGCTACCCCAGAAAGAAACAAAAAAAAGCTCAAAATCTCCACTCTTGGTGGCACCTCCTTTGATGCTCCTTTTTTTCCTGGTCTGGGTCACTAAAATGTGCTCTCCCCCACCCCTCTGCTTCCTTCCTGTGTTTACAACTGTTCCTTTCTGATTTGAGCATGTACTGTGGTTCTAATTTGTAATGAAATATTGCCTATAAAAGGATGTTACGTTAAAGCTATGCAGTTCACAGATACATTTGTAAACGCATGTGGTAAGTTTGGAAATCTTTTCCCTGGGTAACATGAAATTAGAGCTTGTGTAAATCTTAGGAATTTGCTTCAAAGTTCAGCTTAAAGTATTTCCTGATGTAGAAAGAAATCAGTTTCAAAAGAATACCTTTTAATAAATGATGTATAATTCCATTTGAATAAGTCTTTTTAAAGATATGTTTTAAAGATTCACACTAACATTTGTCATATCATAAAATCTATTCAGAAATCTTGTGATCATTGCAGTTTCCTGATCCTAGTGTAGTTGGAGCTAGTGTGTTTTCCCTTTAGCCAAAACAGGAGAGAATCTTCATAGGGAAACACCATGTTAGCAATATTTACTTTTAAAGTATTTACTTTAAAATACTTCTTGTTTCCTAAACTTTCACTGTATTTCCTGTTCTGTATTTTTAGTAATTTCATCGTAAATTTATTACAACATTTAGTATGAAAAACAAAAGATTCTTTATTTTCCTTTTATGATATCTAATTATTTTCTCTTATGAAATCTAGGCAACGTAGTTACAGGAAGCAGTGCTCAGATCTCTGTTCCTGTCCAGGCTCTAACTGACCTCCAAGGTACAGTTGCCATAACCTGCCTTCTCTTCCTCCTTCCTCCCTCTCCCTTTCCTTCTCTCTCTCACTCTCCCTCTCATTTGTTGGCACCTGCTACACCACCCTACCCAGACTACCTTTATTTTCACAGCCCTCTCCCAAAACTCATGTTTCTGGCCTTATCTTCCATTCTGCTACCATAGTTTGGCCACTGAGCGGCACTGTTGTGTAAAACAAAAGTCCCTCTCAGGGCCTACCTTAGTGGCATCCAGCTCTGATGTGAGTTTTCTTTGTTTGCAAAATACGATTCAACATATGTTTGAAGTCCTTTTTGCCATTATGCTTTGTAGGCTAGCTGTATAGAAGGGATTTTTGTTATTGAATAGGTTCTCTGTGACAATATTTGACAAATTTGTTGTAAGATTTGTTTCTAATGCTGATTACCCATATAATATACCTAAAAATTATAACCAGCCTTTTTTACAACATGTTTTTGAAATAAGTATTAGATGTTGAAATAATATTAAAACTTTTGTTGTCCATTTTAACCAGTGTAGCCAGCCACCATAATGAGGGAGAGTGGTTTGCAGTCAGAGTGAACACTGTAATCTTAGCCATGTATTTGATTTAAGAAATACAAAAAGGTAATTCATTTTTCAGTACTTTGAGATTTTAAGCATAAATGTCTAACGTTGATCCACTGATCTTTTTTTACTTTTTTACTTTATACCTTTTTGTTGAAATAAAGAGAAATTTTGACTTAAAGAGTCCTTCACAAATTCAATGCAAAAAACGGAAATAATACAGTATTAATTAAAACTCGTATCATGTTTTGCTTACTTTAAAATATTCATACAATAAGGAAATTATATTTGTATTAAAATACTATCCATCATTCCTTTTTCTTTTACTGAGATTCTATACTCAGTGATATTTATTCACGTTTATCCAACGAGTATTGGTTAAGTGCCTGCTCTGTGCCACGCTGTTTCTGTTGGTTTCCCGCAGTATCACCAGCCTTGTGGATATTACCTTTGCTTAAATGGTCAGTCAAGCCAACTCAGTTGGGAACTAGCCCTTTTTCTGAGTGTGTACAGAGTTCCCTTTGCCAGCACACTCTTGAGAGAAAGTGTGTCAGTCTGATGGAAGGTTCCAGCTATCTGATGACACATGGATTCTTAACCAGTGGTGATGAACGTTGGGAGGGCAACACAAGGAAATGACCCCTACATCTCCTGAACTAGATTGAACTAGATAAGTAACTTGTATTTTCCTAACGTATTTCCTGAACAGTGTGAACAGAAGACTCGACAATGTCTGTCCATGTTGAAAAGCAGCAAAGTAATAAAGAAAATGAAGAAATGAATTTCAAACTTTCAATGATCATTGACTTCATATAGTAGTATAGTAGTTATGTGGTTTTTTAAAAGAAAAATAGGAATATATAAATGGGTTCATGATTTAAAGCAATAAATAATGTTTAGAAAATTATTAGAAAGCTTTCTTTTATATTTTGCATTATAAATTGCAGAAACAAAAACCAACACTTACTACTGCAAAATTTGTTTTTGGAAGATTTAATTGTAACTGGAGGTTTCTCTTCCACCTGCCAGTTTTCAAATAACCACTCTGAGGCTTGATATTAATTACAAACTGTTTGGCCTATTACCTTAGGCTTATTATTAACTAGCTCTTACAACTTAAATTAACCCATTTCTGTTCTTCTGTATTTTACCACAAGTCTCGTGACTTGTTACCTCATATCTTGCTTCTCCTGAGGCTCCTCACTCCCTGACTCTGCCCTTTTTCTCCCTGTACTTTCCACTTGGATTTTCCACCTAGCTGTATTCTGCCTGGCTGTTGGCCAAATCAGCTTCCTTAATAACCCATGGTAATAATATTCACAGCATACAAAAGGGCATCCCACACCATTTAATTACATATATTTCTTTTAAATTGGTTTAGATTTTTCATTGCCATAAACATCTTTAAAGTTTTTATTTCTGTGTATATTTATGCCTTATATATTGACATCTACATATATATAACACCCAAGGAGATAATATTACAGTACTTATTAGGTTACCTTTAAATTTAAAAGGAGAACATCTCCCTGGCTAGGTAGCCACTGTTCATAGTCCTAAGGTCAAACCAAAATGCATGTAACATTAGCAGTTCCAGTTAGTTAAAGATATTAAATGCAGCATGGGAAAAGCCCTCCACTTTTTTCTGCCAACCCTGCTGCCATCCCATCTCCCCTGGAGCAGCCTTCCTTAGATTTCATATGGTTGCTTCTAGGGGAAAGTTGGGGAGGAAGATGGGAGGCACATTAATTTGATAAGAGCTCACTTGTTTGTGGACTTGTGGTGGACTTGGGGACCACCACAATGAAATGATAACTGAAATGTCCAAGGGTGGGTGGCAAGCAGAAAATTAATAGGACAAGAAGAAGGAAGCCAAGTCAGTTGGAGTAGAACCCAGTAAAGATAGCAACAGAAGAGATAAGACTTTAAAACAAGGTGCTATATCAAGTACTCTAGCTAATGTTGGGAGTGATGAGTGGTGAGCTTGAGGTCGACACCAGCTCCACTGTGTTCAGCATAATTGTTATAAAACAACCAAATGTCTTAGCTTGAAAATGTGATTTTATGAAATACTTGTTCCAGAAATAAATGAGTGTCTCGTTCGGGGTTTTTGCTTGATTGTTTGATTTTTTTTTTTTTTTTTTTTTTTTTTTTTTTGGTTTGAGGTGTTTTGTTTTGTCAACTTGACAAAAAAAGTTACATGAGAAAAGGAACCTTTTATATGAGAAAATGCTTCCAACAGCTGCCTGTAGGCAAGTTTGTAGTCCATTTTCTTGATTGATGTTTGATATAGATAGGCTCACCCATACTGGGAGCGCACTGCCGTCCTTAGGCAGGCAGTCCTGAGTTATATAAGAAAGCAGGCTAAGCAAGCAATAGCAATACAGAACAAGTCAGTAAGCAGCGCTCCTCCACGGCTTTTACTGCAGTTCCTGCCTCCAGATTCCTAACTCTTGTCAGTTATGGAGTATGCGTTGTAAGCCCTTTCTTCCTCTTCAAGTTGCTTTTGGACATGGCATTTATTACAGTAATAGAAACACAAATCAAGACAGAAATTGGTACCAGGTTCAGGTATTGCTTTGTTAACCCTAACTGTGTTCTGGGGAGGATTTTGGAACTGAACTAGAAAGACAGGTGTTCCCAGCACTGGGCCCCTGGAACTGAAGAATAGTTACATAGTTACGACTGAGAAGAGCCAGAACCACTAAAATGAAATGGTGCAGTGTATACTTGTCAGATGAGGCTGAAGAGTCAAACACCTGTGCTTAGGATGAGACCAGAATTACTGAGGAAAACTATCTGGGAAGTGTTTCCTTGGGGTCAGCAGAAAGTTTTAGTCTAGAGCAGGCTAAGACTGTACCTTGGGCTAGCAGCTAGACTAGGTACTCATGCAAGAGACTCCCAGGCAGTTCTGATTCTGAAGGTAAAAAGGAGTCATGGGGAGCAGTTGGGGTTGAGCACTGGGGAGCGTGCAGCCTCTATTGCAATTAGAAGCTCCAGAACTAACGCGGTAGTGGAAAGAGGTTGAGGTTTGGCACCTTGTCTAGAGAAAGTCCATAAACAAAAAGAGCCCAGGAGAGGCTATTGGTGGTGAAGGTGCAACCCAGTTGCAGTGGAGACTCCAGCAATTTGATGTACCAGTACTCTGGGACAACCACCAAGATGTGGAGTGGAGCCAGCCTGAGTCTACAAGGCAAGGTACATGTGTTGTGGGGTGGCAGAGCCAGAGAGGTGGAGCTGCCTAGGTCTTCGGTACCCAGAAGATAATGAGTGTCAGGCATCAGTCATTCCGCAGTTGGAATTTAGTTTTGCTTTGTTTTAATTGTGACTGTTTCCTGGTTCTTTCCTCTTGGTAAGAAATATATCAATGCTTTCTTATATTTTATAGAGGCCCTGAGAGGCTTTTTGTAATTTTTAGAGAGACTTGGAGCTTTGAAAGAGACTTTGGATGTTTTAAAGAGAGTGTATTTGAATTTTAAAAGAAGGTGAGATTCAAAAGTTGGAATGTTTTATATTATGTGTTAGTATCAGTGTGGTGTCTCAGGGACAATGAGCCAGGAGAGATTGTAGTTCAAGAGTGATGTCTTTGTGTGTCACATTGACAGGGGTTCAGTTGTGCTGGGATTTGTTGGTTTGACAATTTGACACAAGATGGATTCATTTGAGAGGGGTGAATTTCAATTGAGAAAACGCCTCCATGAAGTCAGCCGTAAGCACACCTGTGGGAGCATTCCATTGATCAGTGTAGGTGGCCACAGCCCATTATGCGTGGTATTACCTCTGGGGAAGTTTTACTGGAGTTATTAAGAAAACTAACTCAGCACGCCTTGAAAAGCAAACCAAGAAGCAGCATTGTTTGTTTGTTTTTGAGACAGGGCCTCACTAAGTAGCCTTGGCTAGCCTCAAATTTCCCTTGACCTAGAACTCACAGCAATCTCCCCATCTCTGCTTCCTGGGTGTAGGGATTAATGGATTAATGGCGTGCACCACCATGCCAGGTCTTGATCGTTCTATCCGCGTTTTCTTGTACCAGATTGGCTACATTTCATACAGGTCCCCGATACCCGGTCACATTAGGGAAGTAGGATAGTGCAGCTTTGCCCAGCATGATCCATCCCTGCAGTCCAGCCAGAGTCCAAGTCCAAGCTGTACCACTGCCTTCCAGGTGAACTGGGCCAGTTACTGAACCACTTGTTTGTAACAGGAGAATAAAAGCAGCCACTTGCATTACTTACAGATGTTGTCCTGGTACCTGTTCCATAAAACCAGTTCTTGGCTAGTACCTGCTCAAGCAGTGATGATAATAGAAGCCTCACAGACTTGCCTGGTTCTCAGGATCCGATAGTGGAGGAGCTTTCTGTTCAAGGAAAACTGCAATAAAGCAACACTTGTATATTTAATTGTTCTGATATTCTAGACAGTTTTTTTTTCCCTTCAAATTAGTACCCAATCCAACAGTGTTTCCAGGGTCTTGGTGGAGTATAAGCTGTTTCCACTCACTCTCCTGGCATTAATGTCTTTAATGAGTACATATTAGCCTCTTGGCTTCATGTCATTCAGCTGCGCAGGGAACACGTGCCTCCAGTGTTCTCCTGGACACTGTAAAAAGTCACACAAAGGCAGGCAGCACCGAAGTATCTCCCTCCTAGCCTCTCAACTGTATTGCTTCTGTGTGTTCATCTCATGTCTGGACTTGGATACACAATATTCAGCCTGTCTGCTTAAGAATATACTCTAGCTCCTGTTCATCTCATTGAGTTTCTGAGGAAAGAACCCCATAAAAATATTATCCGAAAGACATAGCATCAGCTTAAGATAAACTATTTCTTCATCTTTTGTCCTTCCTTCTAAGGCATTTGCAAGCCAAAGCTTCTGAGAGATTCTTGACAAATCGCTTCCATTGACCTGAGTCCAAGGGATGCAGCCATTTGCTTTATGTTAGAAAGGTAGAGATTGAAGAAAGGATGGAAGATATCCAGACATAGCTGTGTCTGATCCAGTAATACCTCTGTGTGATGTTAGAACGAAACACGTCTCCTGTACAGGCACAGCCCACGTCAGGGGATCCAACTTAATAAGAGGAATGTAGATTAGATTTCAGGGCAGCACAACAATGTGCTTCCTGTCTAATGTAGTACACCTGGCCCATACAGCTATGGAACCACCATGTAGCTTATAGGTCACAGACATGCTGAAAATACCTAGCCCTTGGCTGATTGAGGACTGGGCATTTACCCCAGCATGTCATGCCAGTGACATCTGTTCTTTCTAGAAACTCTTCCACGCAAGGCAAGACTGCTGGTGCAGAAACATTTTCCGAAGATCTCCAGAGAGAAGGCAGTGCATTAACTGCTTTCTTAAGGTCTAAATGTTGGTATTTCCAAAATAACAAAAATAGTGTCAAGCTAATTTGCATAGTTAAGGAGGAAGAAACATTTTATTTAGAGTTTTTATGTCCAGTTATATTTGCAATATCTATAGGATATAATCATATGTACCATGATCCAGTTATATTCACAGGTCTGTCCAATACCTTGTTCCTCCTCCTGACATCTTATTACTTAGGTAGGCTAACTTAAGAAGTATGAGTGTAGAAAAATTAAGAGGAGAATGCACAGTACTCTGACATATTCGAAATCTAGAATCAAAAGATTTCTTAGTTTATTATCATTTAAACATGGAAACAGTGATTAATACAAAATGGGCCTGCTTAATAAGATTTTGTTCTTTGATATTGTTGTAATTTCTTTGAAATGGAACAAAGTCCCACAAGATTATAATAAAACTTTACTTTATGTCACCCATTTCTTCTGAATGGACTAAACACACATGGTTATGTAAGGCATACTGTGTGCCTTCTTCTGAAAATATCCAAGACAACTAACATTTTACAAAACTTGGTAAACAAACTGCTCACAACTCTTCCACAACTACTAGCTTGTTCTAAGGATATAATAAAATTTAAATTATTCTATCTGGAATTTAGATTAACTATGAATTTGAACTATAATGTCAATTATTGAGAGACAAGATAACATAACTAGAGCTAATAACCAAAGGAAAAGTAAAGAACATTTCCCAAAACTAAAGAAGCATTCTGGCATGGAGATTGAAAATAGTTTAACAGGCAGGATAAGAATAAGACCCATCCTTCACTGGAGGCCCCATAGAGAGCTCAGAAGAACATGGATAAGGTCTATTTATAAGATGACCATCAAGTACCAACACATTTCTCAATCATAAAACAGGAGATAGAAACATGTGGGGTTTTGATGGTTATTTGTTTGTTTATTTTTAAAGTTTTACAGGAGAATTGTTTGAAAGGATCATATGGGATGGCAAAGTAAATATTGGCACAGATAAGGCATCAGGTCTGCCAGCACACCCACCTTCATCTTGGTGACATAAAGCACAGCTCATCTCCACAGGGACAAATAGGAGTGAACATGGACTTAAGTCACTTCACATATGTTTAGTGTTAGATTCATATAAATCTACTTTATACAAATAACAGCTTCCGTAAGTAGTGGTTAGAATTATGTTTATAAAGTCCAAGAATTAGAAGAAAAATAAACTATGCTCAAAAGTGGGTAAAAGCAGTCAAAAGATTCTCTAAAGAAACTTCCTCATCAGACTTTTAATATATTAAATATGTTTAAAGAGCTACAGGAAACCATTTTGTAGGAACTAAAAGAATGAAATGTTTTGCCACATAGTTAAGTGAAACAAAAATATTGCCAATGGTACTTAAAATCTTTTTTCTATGAGCTCTAAGAATAGTAAGGTTGTCTTTATTATAAGACAGGCAGCTTTTCAAGACAAGTTAAGCCCAGAAGCAGACCACAGAGGAAAGTTTTTAGGACACTGAAACCAGCAGGAGCTATGGTCCCAACAAGTCATAACTTACAGATCCCTGGAATTTAAGCAAAGGTTAAAGATTTTCAAGGAAAAACAGAAAATGCCAAGTGTCCTAGCACTGGTCTCTGTAGCTGCCTTTACTTTGTTTCCACCCCTCTATAGTAGCTTTGACAACCCGCACCCTCACAGCCTTACAGGTACAGAATGGGTGCAGAGTATCCTAAAAGTCAGGGTCCCAGCAAGCTCTCACTTTGTAATCGATAAGCAACACCTCAGAAAGGCCGTGTCCATGGGCTTATCTTCATTTGACCACGTACAGATCTTACTAAATGAGAGACTCTTACCAGGTGTCTGTGGAAGGAAGATACCTGCTGACAGTCATTGACATTACAACTGCCCGAGGCATCAGTTAGATGGAAATAGATGGTGGCAGAAAGATTAACAAGTCAGAGACTGATCAAAAAGCCAAAAAGTACAGCTTGTTGTAGTTTAGATTTTTGTGAGGCTGACTTACCAGGCCAAGGTACCTGATATGGTCAGTGAGAAATAAATCTTGACCACACATAGGATGGAGGAGCCACAGTAAGACTGAGGCTCTGACAAGTTTATTGTAAGCAATCAGACATTTTATACCCTTATCAGAAACAGAATTTAGTGGTTATTATCAGCATCAATACAGTGGTAGGTGCCAGGATACAGTGATGTTTGCTAGCCATGTGGGGTATGCAGGACTAATGTCTAAGGCAAATGGTCCTGACAAGTTTCTGTATACCTGCTTAGTGTCTAGGAAATATAGAGAATCAAGAGATAGCCTGAATGCTTCACTGCCTGAGGGAATACCTGGTTTCACACAGTGCCCTGGGAGCCACCTAAAAACTCTGACACATGCCTCTCAAAAGCAGCCAGGCCAGCGCCCTGATTCCCTGCATGCTGGTGTATGCTTGGGATGTTAGGGTTCTGGCTTACAAGTTTGAGGCTAGACTGGGTTACAGAGTGACTTTAAGTATCGCCTGGACCGCTGGGCAGTGGTGGCGCACGCCTTTAATCCCAGCACTCAGGAGGCAGAGACAGGCGGATCTTTGTGAGTTCGAGGCCAGCCTAGTCTAGAAGAGCTAGTTCCAGGACAGGAACCAAAAAGCTACAGAGAAACCCTGTCTCAAAAAAAAAAAAAAAGTATAGCCTGGACCAAATAGGGAAACCCTGACTCAGGAGAAGAGAGAAGGGAAAGGAGGGAATGATATGATTTTAACAAGAAAATTTCTAAATGGGTCCTGGGATCTTTTCCGTCCAGAGAGATCCTAGTTATGGGTTATTGCCATAAACAAATAATTGAAGTTAAGGCCTAGAGCCCTGGAAGGTGGTAGGAGACAACGGAGGGAAGGCTAGGATAAGGGAGAGCAGAATGTTCCTGTTGTAGGCCTAAAGTCAACACAGGATGCTTCTAGGACCGTGGAATCTGTATTCCCTGCCCTTTTCCCATGCAAGTACTAACCAGGCCCGACCATGCTTAGCTTCCGAGGTCAGAGAGATGGGGGGCGTTCAGTGTGGTGTGGCCCTAGACTTCCCTGCCCTTTTCTGGCTCAGAGAACCTTGTACTCAGTTTGAAATTACAGCGACAATCATTAAAGACTGTTGTTGAAGTAGAATTAGAAACAAAATAGATTTATTGGGAAAACAGTCCTGCAAAAAGAAGAAGGAATGGGCTTAAGGGGTGGTGTTAAAGACTACTGCAGACCTTACAGGAGTCCAGGGCTTCCTGTGAGAGGACCTGGGGGGGGGGGGGCGGTGAGCAGCTCTGCTGCCAGGCACCACGGGAAGGGAACCACCTCAGAAAGAGCAGGCACTCCACTCAAAACCTGAGCAGATCCCGAGTAGCCTGGGGACTGGGCTGTAGAGGACAGCTGGTGAGACTGGGGACAGGAGACTGGTAGATCTACGAGTCCTACTGTATCACAGTGACTTTGTACCTGTGGCCTGAGAGAGAAGACTGCCTCTGTGGGGAGCATCTCTTTATCATGGACCTTTTACTTGGTGAGCATCTCAGATGCCACCATTGCAGTCAGGGCACAAGCCCAGGGAGAGGCATGGAGGCTCTTCAGTGGGCTAGGGGCTGCTCTACAATTAGGGAAAAGAAGGAAGCTCTTTGAACTTTTTTGCTAATTAGTTCTGAATCATATTCATCCATAGCTCAGTCACCTCTGCTTTCTCAGGTAAGGAGCCACCCAGCTGCTGGCAGAGCACTCAGCTATTTAACGCTTCATTTCAGGAAATTAGGTTCTTTTTATGTTTTTGAAAATATGCATGGACTATGTCGTATGCATAACATATTTGAAAATTGAACTGGTACTTCATTGTTTTAAAAAAAATAGCATCTTCATGTTAGTGTCGGGACACAGTGGCCTCGTTGCTCATTGCCATTTATTAGACCCAGTGTGTTTGGTGGCTTCGTGACGGTCTGGTGCTCAATGAGTGCTGCTTAATTTTTCTTACAGGGCAAAATTCTAAGATCATCAGTCCAACCTCAAGCATCGAGAGTTTGCCTGGGGGAAGAGAGTCCTCTGGCTCCCCACCTTCATCAGCTTCTAAAAAGGATTCCTTTTTCAGCAGCATCGCGCGTTCCCGCTCACACAGCAGAACTATAGGGAGAAAAGAGTCCGTAAGTATCTAAGAGCAGCTCGCTCTCCACCTGTCATTCTATCCTAGAGTGGTGCACATAGGGAAATTCCGCTCATGCCCAGTTACGTAAAACTCCTTACACATCTATAAACTTGAACAAACTAGTTTTTCATGAGTATGTTAGTGCTATCATTATAATTTAGATAATACTTTAAGACTGTGATCTCTGTTAGCAGGGAAAACAGAAACATTTGTTCAAAATAAATGGAGTATTTTTCTTAATCCTTCTTCTGTCCTCTTATGAAAGTATGTCATATTTCAGAACATAGTCCCACCATTGCTTATTCTGTGGTTCTGGAGGCAGACCCTGAGGAAGAGTTAGAAGTCAGAAGGCTTACTGGTGAATAGCACCTACAAAAGAAAGAGAGCTGTGATTGGACACAAGTGCCGTCCACGCTCACCAGTCTCCATCAGGTCTCTGTGTGGCCCCTATCCAGCTGCCTTCTAAATTTTAATAAACAACACTTTGTTGGTGAGAGATTATGACACTGGGAAAAACAAAACAAAATAATCTTTCTATTTTAAAATACTAACCTGAGCCAGGCAGTAGTGGTGCACACCTTTAATCCAGGTAGATCTCTATGAGTTAAAGGCCAACCTGGTCTACAGAGTGAATTCCAGCACAGGCTTCAAAGCTACAGAGAAACCCCGTCTCAGAATACCAAAATAAATAAATAAAGTAGTAGCCTCAAAAGTAAAATAATTTTGCTTTTTGTTTTTAAAAACTATATGAATCACATTTCTATTATGGCGATGTTTTTTGTTGATTGTTTGGTTTTAAAGATTGATTTGTATTTATTTCATGTGTTTGAGGTTTTGCTTGCACTGCATATATGATCACTATAGATAGATATGCCTGGTACCCACAGAGGTCTGCCAGATCCCCTGGAACTAAAGTTATACTGTGTGGGTACGAAAGCAAACCTAAGTCCTCTGCGAGAGCAGCAGCCAGTGCTCTGAACCACTGAGCCACCCTCTAGCCCTCTGTTACGTTATTGTCATAGTCTCTGTATAAATCAGATTGTATCAACTACTTTCATAATCTAGTTTTAATATTTTATTATCTTTTATTTTTGTGATAATAATATAATGACATCATTTCCCCTTTCTCTTTCCTCCCTCCAAACCTTCCCACATACCTCTCCTTGCTCATTTTCAAATTTATGCCTGTTTTTTCATTAAAAATTGCTACATGCAAGCATACATACATACATACTTACATACATTCCTATATACATAAATACAGCCTGCTCAGTCTGTGTGTTGTTACTTGTTACTGTGTGTATGTTTTGAGGGCTGACCACTTGGTATTGGTATTATAAGCAGTTTTATAAGAAATTTAGCTACATTTTATGGCTGCTTCCACACCTGACCTAACATGAAGAACTCACTTGCCCCCCGAAAGAGGAAACAATATCAGAATCTAGCTGTACATGGAAAATAACAACTACTAACCCCCTGGAGAGATGATTGGTCAAGATATGTGAAAGATGAAGCTTTGGATACCCATCCTTGGTAAGCCACTTCACTTCATAGTGTCTCAGCCACCTCATCTGCAAACCAAGCAGTGTCCATCACTCAGTTTTGGGGCTACATTCTGAGAAGTGCAGAATACTTCTGTTCTCTACATGGTTCTGAATTTAGACCAAGATGGCTATGAGGTTTTTAGTGACTAAGTCTCACAGTTCCATAGTTAACTATTGGTCCATGGCTGACTGAAATACCATTGTGCAGCACATAGGTGTGCCTGTTCTCTGAGGGAAAGGATTCACCTGTGCTCTGTCCCAGCTGTGGTCTGCAGTGTCAACAGGGTGGGACTTACTATGAAGACAGTGTGTCTGCGACTGCTCACCTCTGCCACCTCCCAAAATTCCTCTGCAATTAACAACAAACTTCAAAATAAGAAACCAGGACAGACGACACAAGCAGTAAAGTCTGTTTATCGGGAAGCATATGGCAAAGGGTAACTAAACAGTGTAAGAAAGCAGAATCCTCAGTCGTCAGTAGGAAACCCCAGAAGCTCCTGCTTTAGGTGTAAGTTCATCGGGGACCTGAGACCTTGGCGATGAAGATGGAAGGCAGAACAAAGCTGTCACTGTTGCCAGTGATGCACATAGAAGAGATTTCTTTTCCCATCGAGCAGAAGACTGAAGCTTTAGTTCTCTGGAAAGAGTAAAGTAAGATCACTAGACTGAAAGACATCAGACACATTCCATATGGGGCTATGCTGTGGACAGTGGGTGATTATTGTGTGAAACACTAAATAGAGGAACTCCAGCCCCATCCTCCTCCCCTTGTATCCCAAAGTATCAGCATTAGAACATGTGAACACGCACACCCCACAAACATTCTTCCCTTAGGAATTCTTCAAGGAAGAAACCAGGTCATGTGACAGTGGGCCTAGCCATCAATAGGCACCATCCAAACAGTGCTTCCTCGTGCCTCTTCAGTTCATAGCTTTCTATATCAAGACAGCCAAGAATCATGCAATGTGGTGATCAAAGACAAAAAAAAAAAAAGACAACTAAAATAAGATAAATATTCATGGCAAGACAACTTCAGAAAGTAACATGTATGTATATGTTCATCTTTCAGTGTCCATGGAGAATTATATCTAGGATCCCCTCCTGGTACTGAAGTCTGTGAATGTCCAAACCACCAGATAAAATTATATTATGTTTGGGTATGCACCTTTTTCCATGTAAGTTAAATTATCCCTTAGTCATTTAATTGCTATGTGAAGTGCATACTGTTTAAAAGATAGTAAGCTAAAAGTCTACGTGTCTGAGGAGAAAAGGAGTGGGGTGCTGTGTCCCACGTGTTCAGTACATGTACTTTTTAAAAAATATTTTCAAGTGATAGTTGGTATACAGAACCCATAACTATGGAGGGTTGACTGTAATTCTTTCACAGAATAAAAACATGAATACGAAAATATAATATCCAAACTTTACAACTTAATAGAAGAACTGGAAAATAAAGTTGAAGAAATACTTCCCAGAAACCAAAATCTAAGACAAGATTGAAGTAGAGAATAAGAAAAAGTATAACATAGCTGAATCTAGAAAAAACTGGGGACAACAAAAGAGGGTGTGAATATACATATACCTCAAAGGGCTAGGAAGGGGCTGGCTGGGTAAAATGCTTGTCTTGGAAACAGGAGGCCATGAATCCCATCCCAAAATACATGCTTTAAAAAAGAAACAACAAACAAACAAAAAGATGGCAGTGAAGGCCAGGTAAACCAGTAAAAGACCTCATCCTAAAGAGGGAAAAAAATGCATGACACCCTGCATCGTCCTGTGGACTTCACAGACACACAATTCAAGGTGTATTTCCACTATTTTAAACTGGGATCTTGAGACTGAATATCATACATACACAAGTAAAAAAAAAAATACACTTATATCCAGTACTGAAAAGCTTCACAAGAGAACAAAAGACATCTTAGGGACTTATAGTATTGAGTGAAAAAAAAAAAAAAAAGGTTTTATCTATAGCAACACCAAAGCCAAACAGTAGACCATTGCCTTCAGTGCTGTGGGATGAATTCACTTCCTACCCAAACACCCAGCTAAACCACTATTATGGTTTAAATCTGAAATGTCCCCTAATGGTGCGGATCTTGAAGGCTTGAAGAAAGGTTATTGCATCAGCAGGGTGCCAACTTTGTCAATGGATCAATCTATGTGTGTTTATACCTGAATGGACTAAAAGAAATGGTGCCAGGTTGTAGAAAATAAATCACTGGGGGCACACCTTTGAAAGATATATCTTGTCCCCTGTCCCCTTTTTTCTTATTCTCACTGTTCCTGGCTGCCATATGCATATCTATTTTATAAAGTAAGTCTATTAGCTGCTAATCTAGTTCAAATTATGCTGTAGCTATCGAGAAAATAGGGTGTGTGAACAATATATTTATCTAGAGAAAGAGATGAGCAAGCTGGCAGTGACCAGTAGAACTAACTCTCATTCTTACATAGTGAGAAATCTCCAGGAAAATGAAAAATTGAGCAACTTAAGCTAGAGGTAAAAGTGAGGGGGGCTGGGAAAAGCATTTAAAGTAACTGTTTCTGGGGAACAGAAAGAAGTTGTGAGAATGGGCTTTTCTAACAAACTTGTAGCAGCAGTTGACTCTTCAAGAGCTACATATGTGAGCTACATTTAAAATAGTAACCAAAAGTTACAACACAGTAGAATACACTACCATGGTTAATCAGAGCATTTGTCTGTTCAGAAAGTCTGTATCTGAAGGGCTAGAATATGAACATCATAAACGAGACAAGCATATGGAGACTTGTTTCTTGTGTGTTATATTTGGTAGCATATGGATTGGTCTACAAATCAGCTAATTCTGAAGGTAATAAAATAACATAAAATTGAGAGGTTGAGAAATAGGCCTAATTCCCCACATTGACATGTTGTAAACTGTGAACACCATACATACATTAGATACATAACTATGACCATGTGGGTAATCATTCCAAATTTAGTATATCTCTTACCTTGAGGAGATGGAGCTAGAAGTCTTCAAAGAGAAGGCTCTGGATTTCCACTCCATTAGCCTTAGTATTGTTTGCTATAGTCAGTGTTCTTTGTTGGTTCTTACCACAGTAGTATTCCATATATATCCTGTGGCCTGTCAGCTAGATAACTAGTTCTGTCCAGTGTGCTGAATGTGTAGGTGTTTGATATGTATTGCCACTGCAAAACCCTACATGTATCTCTTTTGGCACAATGAACTGCAGGGTATATCAACCCAAGAAATGTAAACCTGAATCATGAGTGAAGAGTGAGATTGTATTGATTAACGCTCTGAGATTTCAGAAGAACACAGTGCACAGTTAGACATTACATGGGCCCATAACTGGACATCTTTCTCCCTGGAAACTACCCTGCCATAAAAAGCATCAATCACCAGCACCTAAGTCATACTGCCTACCATCACCATGCCTCCTTTTCTTTCATTTCTAGCTCAAT